ATAACCGTTAACCGTATCACAGGCCTAATTTTCAAAATCATCGTCCGTGGGATTCGAACTCTAGACCTGCCACTTGGAGGTGCAGCAACCCCACCACTTCACTAGGTCGCCACACCCCACAAAAGAAGTTATGTAGGATTTAAAAAAAGACAACCATATAATAATATTTTTAAATAGCCAATGTTAAAGTTAGAACTATACTTTATGTTAGCATATTAGAGTATAGATTTGTATGAATAATTCAAATGTTAGTTTAAAAGTCTAAACAACTATTATATGTGTAAGTATAATAAATGTTTATTCTTATACGTTACTAAATTTATTAATCCAACTATCCTACTTTACATAGAACTTTGCATTTTTTTTTGAAACTCTTACTCTATTCGCTATCATAAAAAACTTGATCAGCAAGTTTATCAAAACTTTTCCAAAAATTAGTTTCTTCATTGTTAACTTCTTGTTCAATATCTGATAACCATATTGATTCATCTTCGACCTCACCTATTTTTTTATCATTATTTTTATAAATAACCTGAAGATTCCAATAAACATATACTAATTCTTCAAGGCGTTTATTTGTTAGGCGATTTCGTTTTTTGGTATGTATATGTGCATATGCTGACCAGTTGTGTTCAGAACTTGCAGAAGATGTTGGCATAACAAAAATTCGAGTGCAAAATGGTTGAAGAAATTGAAATCCAAATCCATATGCTATATAATAGTTATTAATCATTTTACATTAATAGAGATAATTTATCATTAATACTTTAGCATTTACTAGAGATAAACTTTGCGCAAAATAAAATCTAGTATATATTCATACATCTCATACAACTTGTATAATATGTATAAATATATGCTAGATTCTTGTATGAAATATATCTTTAGTACTTACCATTCCACCAGTCACGAGGATGTAATTCTTTCCTGCTTCTTGTAAAGTAATATTAGTATTAAGAAGAGTTACTAGTTCTCCATACTCTCTATATAATCCAGCGTGTATTTCATTCTCAGATTTAGGAACAAAATTATTAATGTATGGCGTAACTTCTTGAAATAGTTGAGTTAATGCATGAACTGTAGGACGAAAATGATGATGCGGATAAAAACGGCCATCAAGAAGATATGCTAGTAGCATTATAGGAGTTTGCATATAGTTAAATCGTTTAGAAATAATATTGATTACAGAATTTTGAATAGGACTTGTAATAGTGTGTTTCAAATTTTTCATATCAGCCATTTCTTTATAAACAAGAGATAAAGTAGCCGAATCATTTTCGAATTTAGTAATACCTAGATATATATATAATAAAGTTTAAAAAAAATTTTTATTAAAAAAAAATATATATATCATACATTTTACAATTGGACGCAATACTTCAGCCAAAACTGAAATATTATCCCAATTATCCTCATCGGCAATTAAAATTCTAATTTGGCGATCTTGTTGGGTTCGAGCAGGTATTTTATTATTTTCTAATACACTCTAAATAATATATTATAATTAATATTAAAACTTCAACTATATTTTATAGTTTATATATATATATTATTAAATAAATACCTGAATACTGCTTTTTGACTCTAATAATTTTTCAAGTACTGCCAATTGAGTTCCCCATCTTGTTTTTACAGGATTTACTAATGCGACAGTTTTATTCATTTCTTGTTTTTGAGTTTCATGAAGATATGCTTTTACTACTTGATGGGAATTAAAATAATTAGTAATTTTACTTGCTATTTCTAATGTATTATGCGCCCATTGTAATTCATCGTCAGTAGAATTAGATTTTTTAAAAATATCAGAAATAATCAGGTTTGCTGAATGTGCTGCACATCCATAAAAAAGAATAGAAGGAAATTTGGTACGAAGAATATTCCAAGCTGCATGCATGTTAGCTGCATTATCAGTTACAACTGAAACTACAAAATTTTCTTTAAATTCTAAAATAACTTTTTGAATTCCTTCTGCAATATATTCAGCTTTATGAGAATGAGTTTCTGTTGCCATTGATTTTAAAAAAATTGGACCGTGTGTTGTTAAAGTCATATAATTAATAATTGATTCGTTGTGTTGATTCGACCATCCATCTGTTGAGATGGAAATAAATTTTTCTTTAGAATAAATTTTTTGAATCTGTTCTTTAATTTCTTTATATTCATTAATTAACAAATTATTGCTAAGTAACCAACGGGATGGTGGATTATAAGTAGGACAAAGTGATTTTAAAGCTGCGATAACAAAATCATTTTCAATTAATGCATGTGGAATACTACTTGCATAAAATGCGCGTGCAATTTTTTTGTCAATTGTTTGTTTTTCAATAGGGTTTAATTGACGTGACAAGAAAGGATCAAGTGGTAAGTTAGGGTCTTTTTGAGTAATAGTGCCAGATAATAAATTAAATTCATTTTGATTTGAATTTAAAAAACTTAAATATTTTTGACAAGAATCTAAGTGTGCACGAAGACGTTGTGCTTGGCCTGATAGTTTATGATTACAGTGAATACATTCGGCAACTGGATGCCCTTTTGGTGTTGTTGGTGGATATTTTATAAATTCATTCCAAGCAGGATCAGTCATTTTATCGTTATTAAAAGTAATATTGGTAAAAAAAAAAACTCCCTTTATATATTAATTTTTGTAGTATTTAAAAAATTTATCAAACCCAAAATTTTTATAGACTTTGGCTTTGCGATAGAAATCTTTTATGCAGTTTGCTTTTTTTTTATTTAATTATGATTACTAATTTTTTTTTACTTGTAAATTTTAAGTGGCTTTTAAATTTATCATGCGCATAAACTAAATCTATTTTTTTTTTAGTCTTATTACTTTTATAATTATGCTTAACTTACCTTTAATTACTTGCTTATTTTGAATTAGTGTTGTGCGGGTTAGTAGTAGATGGATTCTTACTATTGATCTAGCTTAATTACAAGAGCACCACTTCGATTTGGTACTGGTTGGTCCACAATATAAAGGTTTCAATGGTGTTTACTACTCAACACCCCAACACAACTCTACTTCCACAACACACAAGACACTACAGGGTCAATTCTACACAGATAAGTAGCGATTTATTTATGTTTGGGCACTGGTCAATTACTAGCGAGAGAAAAAGCTAACCTTTATTATTAATTCTTTACCTCTATATATACTAAATTTGAGTCTATTAGAACAATAGACTTTTTATCAATGACGCACTCTTAATTTACATGCGATAATAAACTACGTATCATCTGTGAAACACAAATTATTAATATACTTTCTTGTGCCACATTGCAGATTTGACCAATATAGTATTGTTATCTAACCAATCACATTACTCATATGGTTCTACAGGACAGAATTACTTCTATAATTATTATTTATTTTATGCTTAACTATGAACCTCAATTACTTTCTTATTTTGGATTAGTGATGGTAAATTCTTAAAATCTACAGAAATTCTAGATATATATTTATTTTTTATAGGCACTAACTCAAGCGCTAAAAATAAATGTATAAACATATAACAATCCTTATAGGGACCTAAACCTGAAAACAATAATGAAATAAGGCTTTACTCAAAACGTCTGCATAACAATGAATAGTCGAACAATATTCTACTCTATGTTCTATGTGTAAGTAAAAGGTAAACACAATATAAGGTTTAATACTGTATGCTCTGCCAGAGAACATATAGCTACGAGAGGTTCAGATACGTTGCTCTATTTGAATTCACTAAAAGACTCATGCATATAATGGTTCTTGTACTGCTACTACAGCCGTGAAGCCTATAATTGTCTCATCTTTTTATATATATAAAACTGGTTAGATAGGGAAGCTGTGATAAAGCCAGCCTTACAATATGAGTGATAGTGAAAAAAAAAAGTACTCAGGTCAAGAAACTTTAAGTGCCTCTATACAAATCAGTAACATTCTTGTTCTTTCTGCATTTATGACATAACTATAATTGCTATTCCATACTTCTATTACTGATTACTAACACTTCCGGCTATTCAAATTTTAAATAATCATATGCAATTATTCTACTAACCCAAAATTACCTACATATACAAGCTTGTATCGTGAATTAAATCATCATTAAAAGAAAAAAGAACAACCATAAAAGGGTAAATGACAAATCTGGACCATTAAATCATCTGTCTTGCAATAATAATCTTTCTATCACTTTGTTGACAGGCTCCTTAAAGTTATATATATCTAATATATTTAAATACCAGAAGCTTATACTCAAATCATGGAAAACGGTTCAATTTTCTTATGATTGTGGTTTGCTAATAAAATTTATGTATTTGATATACTGCGCCAAATTATAGAATTTTTTTAAAAAAATTGACTGTCGAATTTATAAAGTTCAGTCCTGTGAATAAAGTTATCAATCAGTTTTTTTAAAAAAATTGTTCATTAAAAAAGTTGAAATATTCTTGTGATTTTTGACTATAAGCTTTTAGTATCATATATTTATTAATCGTATTATTATTATAATAAATAAATAAATTCTATTGGCTTCTATTTTTAACTAATAGTATCTACCCTGTGTATTAATTATCTAACGTTATCTACCGGTATCTACCGGTAGATACTGGTGGTAGATCTCTACTGGTAGCTACCAACTCACATCACTACTCTTGTAGCACTTGTATTATACTACTCTACACTGATTCTTATACTTGACAAAATCTTTGTAAACTTGCTTATTAGGGTCTCAACCAGCTCTCTATTTTAAAAAGCCATATATGAAAATCAAATATTGTTTTCTAAATTAAGCTTTGAAGGGTTTTGAAGCATTGTACCATCTTTGGCTAGATAGTTTGCTCTTTCATTTCACTTAATTCCACTATGCACTTTGATTTTGACTAGTTGTAAATTAATCTTCTTTGAGCTATACAAATCATTAATTTTTGTTACTAAACTATAGTTCTTCTGTCTGCCCACCAATATGTATTTGTAAGAAGATCAGTTCTGTTTAGACTTGTAATAGCTACTGCACTATCTGTTTTGACTACTACTTTGCTATTATTTAGAACTACTAATACTACTATCAAAGATTTTGACTATTTTGGCCTTGGTTGATAAAGGCTACTTCTCTATTCTAATATTTCTTTTTCTAACAACTCTTGTCTCACTAATATCTATCTGTATCTAGCTTGCTCCCATTCTACTTACTTTCTCTTCTTCTACTAGTAACTTATCTGTATAAAAGATATATTCTATAGCTTTCTCTTTTTGTTTTCTCCTAAATACTGCAAAAGTTTCTCTTCAAAATTGTAATTTAATCTTTGTTGTTTGATAAGTCTTTCTTCATATAGGAAGATTTTTATTATGTTTATCAACTCTGCCTTATTATCATTCTATCTATCTGTCTCTTCCACTCTTCTATATCCCTCAGCCTCTTGGAGTATTTGTGCTATATATCTTTCCTTAACCTTCTTCCCTGAAGATAATACATTAATTATATTGCCTTGCTTGATCTATACTTCACATATATCTACCTTTGCTATCTTGTTAAACTTATATGGTTTACAAGCTAAAATAACTTCTTGTGAGCTTTTTTTTCTCGAGGTAGTCACCCAATACTCTATTAAAACCTTTTTCCATTTCTTTTGAATTATTCTACCTACTGTTGATAATTCATTTTCTTTGTTTATTAATATCTATTTGTGCTTTCTGCTATCTCTTAATGAATCTTTTAAATGAATTTTGAGAGATATATTGTTTGTCTTATGTGATTGATACTGGCTAGCTACTTGTTACTCATATGTATTAATGGTTGTTGCTTTCTCTACCATGGCAAACCACCTGGCTTTTCTTTCTTTAGTTGTTTTAGATTGCATTGCCAAAAGTTTGTTCCATATAATTAAATAGATTTTGCTCTTGTTAATTAGTTGATTTAAGGAAAATATATTGTACTTCTTAATCTGTTTATATTCTTTAGTAAAATACTTTCTATCTAATATTTTGTGTATTGTTGGTCCTCTATTATCGATTTTCCATCTCTCTTTACTGGCTCGAACTATCAATCCAAGCTCTTTTGCTTTTGCTAGAGTTAATATTGCTAGGTTGTTTTTTCATAATTTTTTTAATATATTGTTTATTTTGATTAGCTACTGATCCTCAACTAACCTAGCTAATATATAGCCATGACTCATTCTTACTCTTGTAATTTTGTTTGCCTGTCCCTTACTATTGAGTTTATTTTATAAACTAGTTACTTGCCTACTTAATACTTCATTGCTAAAAGTCATACATCTGTCTAGGCTCCTGTAGTATAATTAGAAAGTTACCTGCTATTGCTGCTAATCTGATTTTTGTGTTTAATTAATTTAATCACTAGTTGGTATATTTTTTCTAAAGCTTGTTGTGATAGCATAGTTGTTTGGAACATGTATACCAACTTAGACACTATACATATGTTGTTTATATATATTAGTTGGCTAATTATTAACTTTTTGCACCGCAGTATTCATATAAAATTGTTAACAACATTTTTTCTTTTTTTGACTAGCAGGCATTCTTCTATATTTCTACTTAACCAAACTCCTAATAACTGTGTTAGTAAATTTCTCTTTTTTGGAAGCACTTTTTGTCTTTTGATTATTATACAACTTTGTTTGGTACTCCCTGTTTTTAGATTATATACTAGCAGTTTGAACTTTGTACTATTTATGGCTATGTCATTTGCTTTATAAAATCTGTAGGCTATTTGCAACATCTATTCTATCTGCTCTTTACTTGTAGCTACTCATATTGTATTATCTGCAAATGCAATTACTGCTTGGTTTATTATTTTCTTGTTCTACTTGTTTGTTCTCAAGTTTATTAGCTTACTTGTAACTACTTTGTACTCAAGGCTACTATCTTCTTGTACTTTTCTCAAAGTGGGTTGTAAAAAATTCTTCAAACTAAAGATAATAGCATTTCTTTCTGTTTTATGCTATCACCCGCTATAAATATCTCTGTAGTGCTATATTTAGTAATTACTTTGATCTGTCTCTTGTTAAAAAGCTTGATTATAAAGTCAATTATTTGTTTTAGAAGCTTGATTCTGTTTACTGAGAGCCTTAAGGATTTGATTGAGACTGAATCGCAAGCCTTCTTCATATTCTGTAATAGTAGCTATAGTTTTTTATTATTTTTTCTTGTATCCTCTATTATTGCTTCTGTTATATAGATCATATCTTCAGTTAAGCTTTCTGGGAAACTTGCAAAGTTTAACCCTTTGAGTATATTCCTTCTAACTATTATATTTTCTAAACATTTGTTTAATAGATGTATCACACATTTTCTAAATATTTTGAGTAGTACAATAGGTCATATATTGCTCAGTTAATAGTCGCAGCTTTCACTCTTTGAAATTGAATATACTTGGACTAACTTTCACTTAATTGATATTATCCTATACTTTATCAAGAGTTTGCAAAGCTTTTAAAAATTTTTTGTATTGCTAAGCTCACTTTTTTGATCAAAGCATACCCAATCATTAATACCCCAGGTGCTGTTCTGATTTTGGTTTTACTTATGACTGCTAACTATTCATCTAATGATATGTCTTTGCTGAGCTCTGCATACTATTTGTC